TAGATTCCCTTTAATTTGGCATATTTATACTTTATATATTTGTTGTATAGTTTTACAAAAATTGAATTTAATTTAATTTAATTTATTAATGCTTAACGCTGAACGCCAATTGGCTTTGTACTAATGTAAAAATTTAACACATTAAACATTCTAGGATAATTATATTACAAGAACAATTAAACAATTCAATGACGCAATTCAATGTAAAAAATACCATTATAACATGTGGACTATCGTAAAGGTGTATGTGATGTTTCAAGCAAGAAGTAGTTGATCCTTCACGTTTTTCATAAACAGCGCATGGGTTCCTCCGAAGAAATTTATAGTAGAGCAATGTTCATTTACAAGTCTTGCGATTCTATTATTATGCCCGGGCAATGTGTAGTTCTTTGTCGTCCTTGTTGTTTCGAGTCGGCGGTTGATTCTGAGGCCCACTTTTGCGGCAGATGCACCCAAATTGCTCAAGAATTTCAGGTGAACAAATGTGACCATTGATTACTTTGTAGAAGGACAGGTCGGCAACTTGCATTTTGCTCATGAGGCTACTGATTCCGAAATGTTTGTAGACTTCATTGGTGTTCATGGTTACACCCGAAGAGCTTAAAATGTATGACAAATATTTGCAGAATTTGTGCTGAGGAGCTTCCAGTCTATTGACAAGCTGGTCTGTGAACGGTGACCAAACTGCTCCATGCAGTACTCAATGATTGGTTTTACCAGTGCATTAAACAGTCGGATGAGAGTGTACGGATTGCGAAATTCTTTGCCAGATCTGAGAATAAACCCTAATGTTTTGTGTGCTCGTAATGCTATGTTGTTTATATGGCTGGCGAAACTTAATGGTTGTGTCCACCTGTAATTGTTGACCGTTCAGCCACTATACAGGTATATGCGGTTCACGCGAAAGGGAGTAGGACATAACAGCGCATTTTTTCGTGTTTAAACAGAGTTTATTCGTTGTACACCAGTCATGGGTCTTATAAACATCATGCTGCAGCATATCAACGTCTTCATCACTGGTTATCTTTCTATATATCTTTAAATCATCTGCATAGACCAGATATTCAGACTTAAGTTTATTACCAATGTCATTTATGAAGATATTAAACAGAATTGGTCCCTGATGTGATCCTTGCGGAACTCCAGAAGTAGAAGCGAACAATGATTGCGGGGTATCGCCGATCTAAGCGTGGTTAGGTCGCCGAAACAACGGCCCTTGGTCGGGTAAAACCCGAGTCATTCCGGTACGTAGAACCGGCTCAATTACAGTCTGGCTACTGTAGCTGCCTCAACAGCTACATGTCCAGACTCGACCCCAATATCCCCAATGAGTGCCCGGCATGTGGGGAATCCCCCCACGACACCAACCACCTCTTTACATGCCAGCTCAATCCGACTCAGCTAACACCCCTCTCCCTCTGGTCCGAACCCATTGAAACAGCTCGTTTCCTGGGCCTCCCGTTAGTTGAGCTTGACGAAAATGATTGAACGTAGACCCGAAAAAAGCGGGGCTTAGTAGTGCCGCTACAACAACAACAAGTAGAAGCGAAGCTACTATAGCCATTGACTCTGACTTGCAGATATCTTTCACACAGGTAAGATCAAAACCATTTTAAAACACTCCTTTTTACTCCATACATAACAAGTTTATGAAGTAGTATGCTGTGGTCCACGATGTCGAAAGCTTTACTGAAGTCTGTATATATTGCGTTTACATCTTTATTGTCATTAAATTTATCCAAAATATAGGTGACGTATTGATATAGATTAGTGGATGTCGACCTACCACATGTAAATCCGTGTTGCCTTGTAGTTATGATATTCTTGAATGCGAAGGACATACGGGGCAATACAATTTTTTCCAAGAGTTTAGCTAGCGACGATTGGTTACAAATTGGTCCGTAATTACATACGTCTGACTTCAGTTTTGTGAATGGGACTAATATAAGATATCTTCCATACAACGGCGAACACACCAGTTTGCAGGGATTCACTAAAGATATGTGTGATTGGTTCACAGAGGCCGATATCGCAATTCTTCAAAAACAGATTCGACAGTCCATATGGACCAGCTCCTTTCTTAACGTTCAGCTTTAAAAGTTGTGTATAAACATCATCATAGCAGACATCAATGTCACTTAGATCTACATCACCTTTCGGTACGTTCAAAGTGTCTACTTCCCCATGGCTAATCCTCGGGCAGTATTCATATATGCTTTCAAAGAATGACGCAAAGAGGTTACTTCAACTCCACTGCTAGCTGTGTGACTCTCCCATGTTACGTTAGAAGGTATATTAGTGTCATTACGCCTTTATTCGTCACATAATTCCAATGCCAGCAACATAGTTCCTGTAACAGGTTGCGCCTAGTGTTCTGCATTCGCTCCGTAGAGCAGAAAATCTTCTCTAGGTAAAACTAGATTTATATTTCTTATAGTGAGCATGTGCTGCCTTCTTAAGCTTAATCTTATTTATTAGTCATTTAGTAAACCAGAAGGGGTGTTCGGGGTGCTTCTTATTAAAAATCGGAACAAGACGGGCGATACCATCAAAAACTATTTCATAAAACAGGATTACCTTTTCATCGAGTGTATTTAGCTTTTAAAGGTTGATCCAATTGGTGTTTAAGAAGAGTCGATTGAGTGCGATATAGTAAGCTTTTTTAAAACAGTATACAGGGGGAGAGTTTACCTTCAAACTGGAGCTAAAGTGGATATTAGCATTTAAGGCGGGGTGGTACAGATCTGCGGTGACAACAGTTTCGATGTTACTGAAACATGGGTCCAAAAGTTGACCATATGGATTAGGTATCTTGTTAACTTGTTGGCATTCTCTTAAAATAAATTCCGCGCGGAGAATATCTTCACAGTATAAGTGCATTCCAAATCGTCAAAATACAAAGCATCAGTCTCTTTTATTTCTAAACCTCAGCAGATTGTAATGCCCAATGTGCGCAACCACGGTTAGATGTTAATTTTTAACTAGGTTGCGCAAGCTAGACTTTTTCTTCTAGTTCGGTTTAGAAATAAAAGGGACTGATGCTTTGTATTTTGACGTTTTGGAATGCACCCTTTCCTTGTTCCCAACTACTCGGTAGGTTATAGTCCCCGAGGATTACGAGTTTGCTTTTTGGATGCTTTGCACTGATGTACGTCAGTGTTGCTATATATGGGCGTGGTACACATCGC